CGGCTCCCCACAGGGCTGTGTGCTGAGCCCCCTCCTGTATTCTCTGTACACCCACGACTGCAGTCCGACCCACAATAACACTCTCATCATCAAGTTTGCTGATGACACCACGGTAGTCGGACTCATTTCGAAGGGAGACGAGGCAGAGTACAGAGAGGAAGTCCTGAAGTTGGCAGCATGGTGTTCAGAAAACAACCTGTCCCTGAACACCAAGAAAACCAAAGAGCTTATTGTCGACTTCAGGAGACACAGCACCGAGTTGGCCCCCCTCTACATCAATGGAGAGTGTGTGGAGAGGGTCCACACCTTCCGGTTCCTTGGTGTCCTCATTTCTGATGACATCTCCTGGGCGGAAAACATCTCAGCGGTCATCAAGAAGGCCCAACAGCGGCTGCACTTCCTGAGAGTCCTCAGGAAGTACAAACTGAACTCTGACCTGCTGCTGACCTTCTACTGCTTGTCCATTGAGAGCCTGCTAACCTACTGCATCACGGTATGGTACGGCAGCTGCACCAAGGCGGATAGTGTGAGGCTTCAGAGTGTGGTAAAGACAGCACAGAAGATCATCGGCTGTCCTCTCCCCTCCATGATGGACATTTATTCCTCCCGCTGCCTCAGAAGGGCAGCAAACATCGCCAAGGACAGCTCCCACCCTGGCTTCAACATGTTCAGACTGCTTCCCTCAGGGAAGCGCTACAGGTGCATTAATACAAAAACCCACAGACTCAAAAACAGTTTCTTCCCCAAAGCAATAACCACACTGAACTCACACATGCACTGATAACACAGCCCCCCACTTCCCACTTCCTCCATTGACCACCACTATCTATAGATACCAAATTCCATGTGCAATAAAGTGTATACACATAACACTACTGTCCATATGAACATAGCGCTGCAGAACTGTAACAATACTGTGCAATAATTTGTATGTAACACTTACTGTCCATATGTACATAGCACTGCAGAACTGTACCCCCCCCCCAAAGTATGTTTGTTTTACACTGAGTAGGAGATGCTCTGTATCTCACTTTACACCTGTATAGTGACAATAAAGGCATTCTATTCTATTGTATTCTAAAACCCTGTCCTTTATGCAATGTTGTATCGGTCCATTGTGGTATTCTGTTAGTCTTCTCGTTTTTGGATCTCTAGTTTATTGGTACTTCTCGTGTCTCATCTCCACGTCCATCTGCTGCACCTAAAGGATCTTCTGACATCCTTTAACTCTGCAGTCAGAGACGCGAGGGTTTCCTATTTCTCCAACCTGGTGTCCCAGAGCAAAGGGAACCCCAAGGTGCTGTTTAACACCATCAGCAGCATCGTCTCTCCTGCCTCTCCTACAGCCTCCATCCACTCTGTTGCAGACTGTGAGAACTTTCTGTCTTTCTTTGTGGACAAAGTCAATAAGGTTAGATCTAGCATCTCTCCTTCAGCCTTATCGCTGCCTCTCCCGACTCCAACCAGGCCCATCATCCTAGATAGCTTTGCTCCTGTTTCTTTGCCTGAGTTAACCAAACTAGTTAACTCTATGAAGACCTCTGCATGCCCCCTCGACATACCCTCATCTTTGTTTAAAAGTGCTTTTCAGTCCATCGGCCCCAGCGTCGTCGTCGTCGTCGTCTTCCTCCGCTTATCCGGGTCCGGGTCGCGGGGGCAGCATCCCAACTAGGGAGCTCCAGGCCGTCCTCTCCCCGGCCTTGTCCACCAGCTCCTCCGGCAGGACCCCAAGGCGTTCCCGGACCAGATTGGAGATGTAACCTCTCCAACGTGTCCTGGGTCGACCCGGGGGCCTTCTGCCGGCAGGACATGCCCGAAACACCTCCCCGGGGAGGCGTCCAGGAGGCATCCTGACCAGATGCCCAAACCACCTCAACTGGCTCCTTTCGATCCGGAGGAGCAGCGGTTCTACTCCGAGTCCCTCCCGAATGTCCGAGCTCCTCACCCTATCTCTAAGGCTGAGCCCGGCCACCCTACGGAGGAAACTCATTTCGGCCGCTTGTATCCGCGATCTCGTTCTTTCGGTCATTACCCAAAGCTCATGACCATAGGTGAGGATTGGGACGTAGATCGACCGGTAAATCGAGAGCCTGGCTTTCTGGCTCAGCTCCCTCTTCCCCACGACAGATCGGCTCAGCATCCGCATCACTGCAGACGCCGAACCAATCCGCCTGTCGATCTCCCGATCCCTCCTACCCTCACTCGTGAACAAGACCCCGAGATACTTAAACTCCTCCACTTGAGGTAGGACCTCTCCCCAGACCCGGAGGTGGCAAGCCACCCTTTTCCGGTCGAGAACCATGGTCTCAGATTTGGAGGTGCTGATCCTCATCCCAGCCGCTTCACATTCGGCCGCGAACCTACCCAGCAAGAGCTGAAGGTCAGAGCTGGATGAAGCTAGGAGGACCACATCATCCGCAAAAAGCAGAGACGAGATTCTCCTGCCACCAAACTCGACACACTCCACACCACGGCTGCGTCTAGAAATTCTGTCCATAAAAGTGATGAACAGAACCGGTGACAAAGGGCAGCCCTGGCGGAGTCCAACCCTCACTGGGAACAGGTCCGACTTACTACCGGCTATGCGGACCAAACTCACGCTCCTCTGATAAAGGGACTGAATGGCCCTTAACAGAAAGCCACGCACCCCATACTCCTGGAGCGTCCCCCACAGGGTGCCCCTGGGGACACGGTCATAAGCCTTCTCCAAATCCACAAAGCACATGTGGATTGGTTGGGCAAACTCCCATGCCCCCTCCATCACCCTTGCAAGGGTATAGAGCTCCAGCGTGCTCTCTGTAATTAATGCTTCTCTGGTTTCTGGTCAGGTCCCTGCTTACTTTAAGAATGCTGTAATCCAGCCGCTTCTTAAAAAACCGAGTCTCGACCCCTCTCTCCATAGCAGCTTCAGACCCTCTAAACTTCCGTTCATCTCCAAGATCTTGGAAAAGGTTGTGGCTAAACAACTCACAGCTGCTCTTGATGAACATAACATCTGTGATAGCTTCCAGTCAGGTTTTCGTAGAGCTCATTCTACTGAAACAGCTCTTCTTAGGGTCTCTAAGGACCTTCTGACTCACAGTGATGCAGGGGACTGTTCTGTTCTGGTCCTGCTGGACCTGACTGCAGCCTTTGACACTGTTGACCATCACCTGCTACTGGAGAGGCTGAGAGACTGGGTAGGCCTATCAGGATCTGCTCTGGAGTGGTTCTCCTCTTATCTCTCTGAGCGCTTCTTTTCTGTGGCCGTCTCCAAGTTTAGGTCCTCCACCACCTCTCTTACCCATGGTGTCCCACAAGGTTCTGTGCTGGGGCCTCTGCTCTTCCTCCTCTATCTGCTTCCTCTTCAGCACATCCTGAGCTCCTTCAAAGGAATCTCCTACCATCTTTATGCAGATGACATCCAACTGTACATCTCCTTTAAGCCCCATGAGATGTCTAAGCTGCAGCTGTTACACACCTGCTTAGACTCTATCAAAGCCTGGATGGCTGGGAGCTTTCTACAGCTGAATGAAGATAAGACTGAGATCCTCATCTGTGCCCCAGACAAGCTGGTTCCCAAAGTCAGAGACTCTCTTGGTCAGCTTGCTTCCCACACCAAACCTTCCGTCAGGAATCTTGGCGTGACCTTTGACCCAGCTCTCACCCTGGATTCTCATGTCAGTTCTCTTGTTCGCTCTTCCTTCTTCCATCTCAGGAACATTGCTAAGCTGAGTCCCATTCTGTCCCGCTCTGAACTTGAGACAGTTATCCACACCTTCATCTCCTCACGCTTAGACTACTGTAACTCTCTTTTCACGTGTCTGAGCAGAACCTCCCTGAACCGTCTACAGGTGGTTCAAAATGCCTGTGCTCGGCTTCTGACCAAGTCCTCCAAATACACCCACATCACCCCGCTTCTCCTCCAGCTTCACTGGCTGCCAGTCAACTTCAGGGTTCATTTCAAGATCCTGGTTCTGGTCTATAGGGCCTTACATGGACAAGCACCATCTTACATTGGTGATCTTCTTAGTCCCTACACCCCCAGCAGGTCCCTGAGGTCCAGTGATCAAAGCCGACTGGTTGTGCAGCGCACCAGGCTAAAGACCAAAGGTGACAGGTCATTTGCTGCTGTGGCCCCCAGACTCTGGAACTCTCTCCCCCTGAGCCTGAGATCAGTGGACTCAGTGGTCTCCTTCAAAAAGCAGCTGAAGACTCACTTGTTCAAGCTGGCTTTTGTATGACCTTCTTCACCTCTCTCTCTTTATTCTGCTCTCCCCACCTATTCCACCTTCCTCAGGATCCACTGATTTCCCTCTTTCCTGTTCTCTCTCTCTCTTTCTTAACATTTATTTTTTAAATCGCAATTGCTTATTCTTGCTCATTTTAAAAATATTTTTAAACATTTTCGAAATGCTTTTTTATATTTTTACAATTTTTATAGTTTTTGTTTTTGTGAAGCACCTCGTGATTTTTATCTTGAGAGGCGCTATAGAAATGATATTTTCTTCTTCTTCTTCTAGTGTTTGTTTCTTGGATCTCTAGTTTCAGTGTTTGGACATTTTTAGTTTTTGGCTTCCAGTCTTTTGGATTTATTTTATTTTTTGGGTTCATCCTAAATAAAGGAGTTTTCTTAATCTTCACTCCTGCCTTGTATCATCCTGGGTATCTGCATTTTGGGTCCTAACCATCTCCTTGCTCGCATTGTGACACTCTATTTGGATTTCTGATGTAAAACTACAGTTATGAGCTTTCTCCTCAGCCATTCTAAGCATAACTATTTGCAATGCAATGTATTGTGGGATACCTTGAGGGCAAAGTTCAGAAAAGGACCCATCAAATGCATCCTCGATATAATGGGCGGAGCAAGAACACATCTGAAACAGTATAGTACTCAGTCCAATGATGACATTTCACAAGGTCGTGAGTCCACGTGTGCATATGGAGAAATTGCCAGCAGGGTGACAGATGTTCAGTGGAGCAGTGAGATGGATGGGTTATGATCAGGACGTGCTAATTGATTCAAGTCAATTCAAGTTTATTTATATAGCGCCAAATCACGACAAGAGTGGTCTCAAGGACCTTCACACAGTAAACATTCCAGTACAGGTCAGTTCATTAAGCCAATCAGAAAAAAGTTTCCTATATAAGGAACCCAGCAGGTTACATCAAGTCACTGACTAGTGTCAGGGGATTGGAAGAGGGTTTTCCAGAATTGTACATTTCAAAGGTGAATCAAAATATAATTTTTTTGACAACATTCAAATAATATGGCAAAAACACTCCAGAAATACATTCCAGACTGCACCTTTACGGCTCTGTCAGTGTGCCCCAGGGCAGCTGTGGCCACACTGTAGCTCATCACCATCAGTGTGTGAATGTGTGTGTGAATGGATGAATGATACAATGTAGTGTAAAGCGCTTTGGAGTCCTTACTCTGAGAGGTGCTATACAAGTGCGGGTCATTTATCATTTAAATGTCATTTGAGCTGCAGGAGGGAATTGCTTATTTCAATGTAAAATCATTATTTTACATTTTTATTAATATTTGCATTAAAGCAGGTGTCCATCAATAAGTCTTAAACCATGCAGGCTGATCCTAGACCTGCTCAGTTGTTCTCAGGCAGGAAATGGATCTCGTTGCCCAGGTGCTCTTTCAGCCATGGCATTACTTTGAAGAGGTCGATATGAAAGTCTCGAGCGTCACGGGGGAGATTGCTGCTGCTGTGGAGGTGCTGGTCACACACGTGGATAGTACCCCAGCTCACCACCCCCACCTGTGGATGAAATCAGGTGAGTTTAACCTTTGACCCTGGTCTGAGTAACCAGGGGAAGAAAAGATCCTGACCTGAAAGTAGCGTTTTCTTTTCTCCAGGACCAAGGAACCCCCAGAGTCGCCTACAAACACAGAAGCACGTGACTGTTGTCTGAATTCCACACAAGTACATTTGGCAGTTTTTGTGTTGAGTCCAGACCTTTACAGCTGATTTCATCTTGGTATCCTTTGGTACCACCAGAACAGAGGAACCGGTCGGTTACAAACTCCTCTAATGTCACGTCTGTGGACTCTTTCAGCAAAGACCTGGCCTTCTCCACACAGCTGTCCCTCTAGAGACAGACAGTTGTGTCTCTGTCAGATTACTGGTGATACAGTGGTGACCAAAGGTTTAGAAGAGGATACAAATACAACAAAGTTTGCTGCCTTGGTTTTTAGGGTTTCAGTTTGCATGAACTCCAGAATTTGGGGGTAAAGTCAAAATTTGTCCCAAAATAAAAATTAACAAGCGATTGTTGACGAGGTTTAGCATCGGAGCAACCGAATAAAGCAAGGCAATTAAACATTCTCCCAGAGGAACTCCTCCAACATCAGCTTGGTGATAAGCAATGCCTTCACCAGCATGATGGTGCACCAGACCAGGAGGATAAAGTCAGAACTAGGTGCATCAGGACCAGAACATCAACATGTTTGATCCAGGTCCAGGAAACTCCACAGACCTGGATACCACTGAGACCTTGATTTATAAAACCCCATGAAAACTATCTAGAAGTGGTGAAGTGAATGTGCTAGAATGGGAAGGAAGGGTCAGGGCTGGGTCCAAATGTTGACTGACAGCATGACAGGGTCTTAGAAAACGACTCGACTATGCATGAACTTCATCTATTTTTCTATCCCAAAAAACCTTTGAAGTGTGTGCAAATGTGTGAGCGTGAGACACACACATTTGACCTCCACCCCCACCCCTCCACCCCCCAACCTGCTCTGACTGTCAGTGAACAGGGTGAAACGGTTGCATACCCCCACCCCACCCCCCGCTCTCACACATTTAAATGTTCAAAAGCTGGCAGCCCTGATGCAAGGCTAGTAAGTACTTCAGTTGCCAATAGAAACAGCTGTAGGCAGGTAAATGATCTCACCTGACTCTGTGTGTGGATGTGAGTTTGTTTACGTTCTTCCTTCTTATCGATGAAAAAAGCAGGAGTCTGGCTGTGAGGTAAAAGCTGGTTTCCTGATTAAAAACGCAAATGATTTAGTTAAATCGTGTTTTCTTAAGATTGTGATGACATGTGGGGTAGTTTAAATCTGAGGAGTTACGTACTGTGTTGACTACAGCTGGAGTTGATCATCTTCATGGCTCGAGAGGCTGCTATGGTACAAGGCAGGCAGATGGGTCTGTTGGACAACGTTCAGTAAACACATGTGTTCAGTTTTCTATGGGACTGTGAGGCAGCTTCCTCCCTGGTGGGTGGCATTTAGATATCTTTTCACATCTTACCTGGCTTGCCAGGACAGAGGGATGCTGTCTTTAGTCTTCACAAGAGCCAGGTCATAGTCATAAAACTCTGTTAAATTCCTCTCTTTGAGGGCTGAGATGTTGTACTTCTGGTGGATGATCACCTTTTCCCCCTTACTTTCTCCTGCACCTGAGAACCAAAGACTGGTTATGCTAGTAGAAAACTGAGTTGTGTAACTTTTTACATTTTGCTTAAAGAATAATGGTTAATGGGGCATGCTGCTGTTGGGTGTCAGGGCTTTTGTCACTTCCTGTTGCCGCTTGGTGGTCTTCGGCCTTGTCAGACCTCTTTCCAGGGCCTTAGCTCTCTCGAGTCTTGGGTCTAAGGGTCCAGTAATGGGCAGTCAGGGCAGTCACCGTTACAAGTCAAAAACTAATAATAATATAATAATGAATGCCCACTGAGTGGTATATACATTAGTTTTCTGTATGATTTCATTGTGTTTATGGTCAAAATGGCTGAATTTATGCGTTTCCTGTTCAAATACAGAAGCAGAGACAGGTGTTGCCTTGGCTCTCATGGAACTGCTCTGCACACACTAAAGCCGGGCGTACACTGTGCGACTTTTTCACTCGCAGCGTTCAGCTTCAGCTCAAACTGTACGACTTCCTCACAGAGCAGATCTCACGAGTCGTGTGCTCACACTGCACGACCCAGTTCTCGCATGCGACCTGACTGCTCACACTGTACGTCTGGTAGCAACACGTCGGCCCTAAAAATGTGCTAAAAATAGCAGTTTTTACTCAACACGTCAGACTTTTTTGTCTTGCCTGTTGTCCTTCGGGAGTGCTGCAGGAGGACACACAGGGATTTATGGGGGTTGGATGAGGAAAACGAAATAAAGAGAGAAAATCTGTGTTTTGTGATCAGTTTAATTTGACATGAACACGACAAACACGCTTTCTTGACTATCTTTGTGAGTAAAAAAAACGTGTAGAAACAAAAACGAACAGCGTGTGTTATTAGGGAAATAGCGAGCGACCGGCCGGCGTTGATGCAGGATTGCGCGCGCATGCGCCGTGAGCGGTTCTGATGCTTTTTGGATCGTAGCTGCTCGCAGCGCCGCTTCAACACTGCGATACCCTCACGAGGGACGAGCGAAATATTAAACACACCAGAAGTCCCTGCGACCTCACGACTGCTGATCGGCAGCTGGTCACGTGGTGTTAATCGCCTCTTGTAACCCCCTGTACACTACACGACCGCTCGGTGCAAAACTCGCCCCGATGTCGTGGCTTCTCGCACGACTGGAAAATCGGCTCAAAAAAGTGAAAAAGTCGCACAGTGTACGCCCGGCTTTACTAATGCAGGCAGAGTGCATGCACCAACTTTCTGTTTCAGTCAGTGTGTTTGGGTTGGCTCCATCAAAGGGCAGGCAGAGACGAGCACTGCCCAGAAACACTGATGCAGGAATGTTGGTGCATGCACCCTGCTGTCTGCCTTTATATTGCCATTGCCGATGTACATGTTTTCTTCCACATGCTGGTGTTCTACAGTCTGTCTAACATATTTCATATGTTTCGCCCTATCTCCCATTTCTATGAGGTGTTCCGCATGGCTTCATTCCTGGTCCACTGCTCTTTGCCGCTTTACATCCAATCCAATCCAATTTTATTTATAAAGCGCATTCACAAGGCATTACAACCAAACAAGGCGCTGTACACTAAAGATGTTAGTTAATCAAACCGGCGTTATACAAACATGTCGAACACAGATAAAAGATAAAAAGGAAATACAACAAAATTCCCAAAAGCTAACAGCTAAAAATCAACAAGACACAGGGAGAATAAAAATTAGAAAAACATTTTAAAAAAGAACCTCAATAGTACGGAAGTTGATATTGTAAAGTCCATTTTTAAACAATGCAGATGAAAGTGATGGTCATAATTATGTTGTATAAGCTAGGTTGAAGTAGTGAGTTTTCAAGCGTGATTTAAAAATGCTAGTGCTTGCCTCACTAGCAGTGGTAATGCGTTCCACAGCTTCGGTGCACAGACAGAGAAAGCCCTTTCTCCACGGCTTTTTAAACGTGCATTTGGAACAGCTAGGAGGAGCTTATCTTCAGACCTGAGAGCACGCGGCGAGTTGTAGTAATGGACCAGTTCACACAGATATGGAGGAGCTTGATGGTTCAAGGATTTGTAAGTCAGAAGCATAATTTTGAAATTTATCCTAAACTGCACGGGCAACCAGTGGAGAGATTTCAGAATTGGAGAAATGTGTTGTCTTCTGTCAGCTCCAGTCAGCAACCTAGCTGCTGAATTCTGGACCAGCTGAAGTCTAGAAAGAGCTGCTTTACTGATGCCATATAAGCAGGAGTTAGAGTAATCCAGCCTTGAGGTGATGAAAGTGTGGACCACAGATTTCAGAAGACGGACACTCAGGATGTGCTTTAGTTTCGAGATGCGTCTTAGTTGGAAAAAACATGATTTAACTGTGTTATTGGCCTGGGCATCCATCTTCAGAGCCTGGTCCATTTTTACTCCAAGGTTGGAGATTACAGAGGATACATTAGGTGAGAGATAGCTGAGGTCATGTTGATGAGTTGCCATGGTACTGTTAGGACTGAAAACGATTAAGTCAGTTTTGGAGTCATTAAGATGGAGGAAGTTGTCAGCTAGCCATTGCTTGACCTCAAGGATACAATCAGACAGAACTTTCGTTGATTGAGTTGGCTTAAATGAAAAATAGATTTGACAGTCGTCAGCGTAAAGATGGTATGAGACAGCGTGCTTTCTGAAAATGGCTCCTAAGGGCAGTATATAGAGGTTGAACAGTAACGGGCCGAGAATTGAACCTTGTGGGACACCCCAACATAGAGGCTGTGACTCGGATGAACAGCCATCCAACATGACCCTAGCAGACCTGTTACAAAAGTATGACCTGAACCAATCTAGGGCTGTGCCTGAAATGCCAGCCCAAGTGTGAAGTCTTGTGATCAAAATGTCATGATCGATCGTGTCGAATGCTGCGGATAGATCCAAAAGTACCAGAACCACATGGAAACCTGAATCTAAAGCCAGAAAAATGTCATTAAACACCCGAACGTGAGCAGTTTCAGTGCTGTGCTGTTTTCTAAAACCAGACTGACGGATGTCCATTACCTGAATTTCATTTAGATGTTTCATCAACTGTGCATAGACTATTTTCTCAAGAACCTTAGATAAAAATGGTAATTTGGAAATTGGTCGGAGATTAGAGTAATCGGTGGGATCAAGGCCGGGTTTTTTCAGGATTGGTTGTAGAACAGCGTGTTTAAAGGCACGAGGAACTTCAGCCAATGTCAAGCTACTATTTATAATGACTAGCACGTTATTGCTAATTAAAGGAAACACCTCTTTCAGGAGTCGAGGTGGGATAACATCATCAGGGGAGCCAGAGGGTTTCATGGCTGCAACAGTTTTTTCTAGATAGGGCAAAGAGATGGGCTGAAAGCTTTGAAGTTGCACATGAGAGGGGATAAATGAATCAGGAACACGGTTGGTTTGGTGAATCTGAGCTCTGATTACAGTAATCTTATTTAAGAAAAACTGCAGGATTTGGCTACACAAGTCATTGGACACAGAGTAAAATAGTTTTTGAACTGGGGAAAGCACTGCATTTATGGTTTTATATAACACACCTTGATTATTTGAATTAGCCGTGACAATGCTAGCAAAGAATCGATTTCTCGCGCCTCTGACTGCTCTTTGGTACTGAGACCAAGCCTCTCTCATGGCCTCAAAGAATACAGTAAGCCTGTCTTTTATCCATTTACGTTCCAGTCTCCTGCAATTTTGCCTCAAGGAACGAGTTTGTTCGTTCAGCCATGGGTCGGGCTTGGATGTCTTTTGACATGATTTTAATGGAGCGACAATATCCATAGCAGCCAGGCAGGATGAATCAAGCACACGAAGTGATCCCTCAACTACAGAAGATGAATCAGTAGAATCATATGGAGCTGAATCCAGAGTAAGAACAGCGGCAAAATCTGCAGCAGTATTGGGTCTGATTATGCGAGAGAAGCTGGGACGGAAATATTCAATACGAGGGGCATTTTCTAATTTCAAATTAAACAAAACTGGTGAGTGATCTGAAAAAGTCGCAGGTAAAATGCCAAGATCACAAATTTCCAGCTCATGACAGAAAACCAGGTCAAGTGTGTGTTCATGTCCATGTGTGGGCGCATTAACACGTTGGGACAAGCTGAAAGAGTCAATAATATCTAGGAAATCCCTTACCAAAGGTTTGTCAAGGCAGCAGATGTGAATATTAAAATCACCAAGCAAGAGTATTTTTCCGTATCTACAGGAGATTTCAGCCAGAAAAGTTGCAAATTCGTTTAGAAAATCCTTATTGTATTGCGGTGGACGGTAAATGAGAGCACATAACAATGTAGGGGAGCGACCCAATTCAAATATGCTCAATTCAAAGGACAGTTGATTGAGGGGTAATCGGTATGCAGATAAGATCTGATTTAAATATAGTCAAAAGACCTCCGCCCCTGTGGTGTGCTCTTGGAATGTTAATGAAGGAGCATCCAGGAGGTAGCAGTTTAGCTATTGAGGCTGAATCCCCAGGGGTAATCCATGATTCAGTGGCGCATAAAACATCCAGGCTATTGTCCTGGAAGAATTCCTTTAAAATAAAAGTTTTATTTACAACCGATCTGGCGTTGATCAGCGCAAAGTGAGTCGACTGAGTATCCGATTGTAGAGAAAGTCCGTTGCCATCAGATCTTGCGACATACCGCAGGTTGGCGGGATTTCTTCCCCGCTGAGTGAGCCGGTCAGAACGAGAGCGGCCGAGACGCGCGTGGGCATCCGGCTGGCGAATCATCCTCACATCCCACACGCTCATATAGCTCCCCGATCCGAGAGCTCCCAGCCGGCAGGACATCCTCGTTTCAGATGCATCCATGGAACATCCAGCTCCGTGTGCTCCCGGCAGCAGCGAGATCGGCCCAACATGGTTGAGATGACGCTGGATCCGCCACATCACAGCCGCGGAGCAGCTCTCCGATATTGCCTCGCCGCACCGGATCCTTCGGAGCTGAACGAAGAAGCCGCCTCGTTTCCCCCGTTTCCCCCGTTTCCTTCTCCACGGTCTCCGAGGCAGCGGCAGACCAACAGGCATCACAAGCCCGAAGG